AGAGAATTGGAGTTAGCTAGATAGGGACAAAATGGTCGATATTAGCGCCGTAAGTTATATTTATCCCGTTCACTTTGTTGATTCGAGTTGAGATGTGATTTTGTGTGAGAGCTTTTTACTGTAGTAAAAAAGTTAGATGTGACTGTTTCTGAGAACTTTTTATTGTAACAAAACTCGAATTCTAAACTCGAATCGACGAAATAAACGGAACTTATAATAATTGGAACCCCAAATGGAGCACTAACAGAAACTACTACATATTTATAATATTTCAAAGTGACAATAATTAAGCAAAAGCAAAGCCATAAACTAATGAATTATTTATTCTAATGGGGTCGTCGTCACCTTGCTAATGTTGGGGACCACTGCTCTAAGGGCAAACAGCCTTTCATTGAGCTTCTTCCTCCTATTCCTCTCCGACACAATATTCTTCGACGCCGCCGACGATGACGCCGCCCCGTCCGGCGAGCTCGAGTCGTAGTACCCGGAAAATGCCTCGTCTAGCCCCCAACTGGACCACATATGTCCCAATTAGCCACACAAAAAAAAAAAAAAAAAAAAAAAAAAAAAAAAAAAAATTTTTAACCATATTATTGTAACATGTCAAGAATTAATAATTATGTCACTTTTTTTTTCCCCCCCCTTACTAAGATGAAAAATCCCTTATTGATGAAAAGGGGTTGTGGTTTTTTTAACGTACCTGTCAAGTTCTTCAGTTTGGAGAAACATGTTTGTTTCCCAATAATGTTTGTACTCCTCACCAATGTTTTCCATGGTGAGAGAGAAAGCAAGTAATTAAGAGAGAGAAAAAGAGGAGAGAGAGAGAGAGAGAAAAAGAGAAAAGAAAAGGGGCGCTGGGATATTATTAGGATGGGGAAGAGAGGACAATGCTTTCTTGAAATCGAAGGAGCGACAATTTATAGGTGCCATGGCCCAAGCCATTAATTTTTTTTTTTTTTAATATATATATCCGAAACTTTCAGATATTTGCAAAGGATTTTACCCACGTGGGAAAGAGGGATTTATTTATTTTAAAAAAAAATTGAAAATTTACTTCTTGTTGCTTCGTAGAAAGATCTTAACCGTCCAATGAAAATGAAAGCGGTCTACGAGGCCGCGTAAAGATCATTAAAATCCTGCTTGCTCTTTTGTCACACGCTCTGTGTTGGAGCGTGTTTAGCAAACTCCTAATAATTGTCGTGCCCTTTTTCCCGTTTTGGTTGTTATGTTGTGCAGGGTCACCCCGTCGAAGATGCTCAATCGGGTGTAGACTACGCTCTTACAAAAGTTGTTTCTGCGGGTTTTTTTTTTTTTTTTT